GAGGGCGGGAACCCTGCTAGGAGGAGACTGGTGGCATCTGAAAGGCAGGTGACTGAAACTAGAGAGGGGCGTCCAGGTGGGCTTGGCCAATGGGCAGTTCTGTCCAGGTGGGCTTCCTTGGAGATGCAGCCCCTGAATCTGCCTCTCTTACCTGCCCAAATTCCCTTTCTGGTGACTGCTGCATCCCCGTGTCTCGCTGCCCGTGTAAGGGAACAGCCCTGTCTGCAAAGGTTTTCAATTTTAATTTGTTATTTTACGTGTTGTATAATCTACTCTGAAAAAGAAGCTCTCCGCTTTTTTTTTTTTTAGAAAGAGATCAAGGGGCTTCTGTGATATATTTAGAAAGATAAAAGAATTTTAGATCAGCTCTAATAACTGCCTTTGAGCATTTTAGGGAAGAGAGACTGGTGTGCACAAGAGGCAGGTTGTTTTGAGCTCCAAAGAGGCTTCAGTTGTTGGAATAAAATCCTGTTTGGAGAGTTTCTGTTTATATTCTGTGGAGTCAATCCTGCTTCCTCTAGTTATTCCATTACAAGCTTCCCTTTCCAATTTGCAGTTTTTCTCCAAATTTAATGTCTGTAAGGCACAGCATTTCTGAGTCTCTCCACTTTGGTTTTCCTAGTTTTTGCTTTCTGTCTGCTCCAGGGAGACTATAACTCCCTACCATACAGCAGTTTCCTTGCTGAACTCCTCAGTTCGTTTGTCCCCACATATATGCTGATGCTTCCCTTGATAATATATGATGTATTTTGCATAATTCTCTGTGCCTTTGTATTTATATTCAACGTGCCCATAAACATTTTGTAGTTGTATATGTTGATATATGTGCAGTCACACTTATCTTTGTGTGCTCGTGTACATACATTGTTGTTTTCCACTGACATATTCATAGATGCCTTGCATATTTGCACACATATATTTATATTTTACTGTTGTTTTGCACTCTGGTTGGATGCTAACTGCTTTTCATTGCCTGTATCCATGGCAATGACAATAAAGTTGAATCTAATCTAATCTAGTTTGACTGCTTAATCTACAAACTATAGAGTTTCTGTTCCCCTTAAGGGGAATGAGTCTCATTTCATCAATTTCCCCCTTTTTTCCCCTAAGGAAGTCTGAAATGTTTTTCTTCCTGTCACAGGAATGATGGATTGTACCTCTCTCTTTTTTTAGAAACTATTGCTGAATGCTCTTTTTTGAGTGTCAGTATATTTTCTTCCAGGGAGAAGCTATGAAAGTGATTGTTCAGCTCCAGAGGGGCTTCATTGGAGTGGACTATGGTAGATTGTAGGAGCTTTGCTCTTGTTTTCTTCCAAGAGTGACATGTTTCCATTGGTCTTGTTCTTTAGCGACATATGTAGGCTCATTTTTTACAAGAAGCTGTTAGTTCCCTATTGTGTTTTACTTCCGTGTAGTCTTCTTATTTAAGTTGGGATTTCTTGTTTTGCTCATTGACTTTCAGAGTGCTAGAGCTGCCTCTAAACACTTTACTTTTTCTTCTAGTAATTCAAGTAGTTTGCATTTAATACATAGTTTGGGTCTTCTGTGGTCATATGCTGAAACATATGGCACACTTTGCAGTTCATTACAGTGTTAGTCCAGTGGTGGCTAACCTTTTGGGCTTGTGCCAAAAATTGTGCGCTCACGTGCCAGCACCCAGAAGGCAATGCGTGTGCCCCACCGCCTCTGTGCACACAATTCCCCCCACCCCTTACCTGCACTGTGCCTCCTAGCTGATTTTTGGCCCATTTTGGCCCATTTTCGGCCTGCCAGAGGCTCAAGGGAAGACTCTGGGGCCTTTGTAGGCCGAAAAATGGGCCCATTTCATCACTTTGGGTATTTCCAGAAATACAGGAAGTGACGAAATGGGCCTGGTTTTCAGCCTACAAAAGCTGCAGAGGCTTCACTCAAGCCTCTGGGAGGCCAAAAATCAGCTGGAAGGCGTGCACATGCGCAGTGAGGTAAATTTGCCAGGGGCTTGTGTGCCCGCACAAATGGCTCTGCGTGCCACCTGTGGCATGCATGCCATAGGTTCACCATCACGATGTTAGTCTTCATCTCCATGTCTTTTTTCTTTAAAAAAATTAAAATTAGAAATGTCTAAAAATTGAAATATTTTCCGTGTTGCAAAGTATGTTTACAATAGTTTTGTTTTCTGTCTTGAAAAATTCTTCACTATCTTCCCTGTTTTAAGCGTCTATCTCTTTTTCTGTGGTTTTTGTCCTCTTGATCATTAACAATTTAAAGATTCCTAAAAAATTAAAATAAGCAAGCTGTTTTTTAAATGTTTGGTGAAAAAAGAAATTGAGACATTGAAAAAAATTGAAAAAGAATTTTTTATAAAAAACATGAAAAAGAATTTTAAAATGGAAAAAGATTTTAAAATCTTTAAAAAAAAGTTTTGTAAAAAACTAAAAAAGAATTAAAAAACTCAATTTAAAGAGTTTTAAATTAAAAATGATGTTTAAGACTTGAAAAACAGATTAAAATTAGAACAAGGAATTGAAAAATTGAAAAAAATAAATTGAAAAAATTGAAAAGGAATTTTTCTTAAGAAAGGGAATTCAGAGATTTTAAAATTAGAGTTTTTGGCCCTTTATGAAGTAATATGTACTTTTCTTTTGGAAGTTTCACTCTATTTTCTAGGAGATGCTTTGCTCTTAACCCTCTACTCCCTGATTTGAAAGGTTATCCCTTTTCTCCCTGTCCACAAGTAATTTTTACTTATTCTTTTTCCTCCTGCTTTCTTGCTTTTCGGTTGCCAGGCCCCTGCTGGGGTTTTCAGGTACGATATGTGGCTATTCTGCTTAGCTGGTCTACCACGCTGCTCTTAGCCGCAGCTGTGGGCGCTACTGCTCAGTTGGTCCTGTGTCTTAGTCGCTGCTCGGGACACTTCACTCCTCTGCCACCTAGCTCTGCAGCTCTGCTGCTCAAGGTCTGCCATGCTGCTCACGGGCCACTGGTCTGCTGCCAACTACCTCTGTTTTGCCAGAGCTCAGTGTCCTCCATTTGCACCATAATGGCTCCGCTAAGGAGTCAGGCTGGGTCACTGAGCTACCTCTCTGTCTCTCAACTTGGCTTCTCTTCTTCTCTCAGATGGGTCGCCAAACGACCTCTCGGTTGGGACACTGGGCTGCTTCTCAGCTGGACCACCTCTCAGCTGGGCTGCTTCTTTGTTCAAGTTCAAGTTCTTTTTTTTTTTAATCTGTCGCTAATCTTGATGTTGCCCTCTTGATATAGTCTGTGTTCCACACATGTATTCAAAAGGACAGATGAATAAAATTTGTAAGGTAAAACAACACCTCAGTTTAAAAGAAAAAAAAATAGTATCTCAACTGAGAGCACAAAAAAGAGATGTCAGTTTGTTAGTGTAAAAAATGTATACATACACACACATTTGTGTGTATATATATAGAATAAAAAGATAACACAAGATATGCCACAAAATCCACAAAATAGTCAAAAGTAGTCAAAATTTTAAAGTATTGTAAAAAATAATAAAAAAATATTGTAAAAAATAATTGCAGTCTCTGACTATTTCTCTAAGAAGTTAGAATGATAATCGCAGTTTAGGGTAATAAAAGAAAACAATTCAGAGGAATTTACAAATTAGGTAATAAAAATTTATGATCCAGTTGTAAAACTTTACAATAATTATAACAACTTTTTAAAAAGTTCACTCAATTTTTCAGGATCATGCAATATATTTTTTAAAAACTGTATTCAATTCATTCATATTATTTGGTAGGTACAGACGAGAATCCCTAAAAATCCTTATAAATATGCAAAGAGAGAAAAAAAGCACCTTTGCAACAGATCTTCACTTCTTTCGAGAAAGAGGAAGATAAAAAGAAATTTCATGTCGTCAGATCTATATGTAATTCATTCTGCAATGATGTATGAGTAAGTATGCTTTGTTAATGGTATAAAGAACAATGCAGTCAATACAGGGTGGGATCCGACAGGGTTAACTACCAGTTCGGTCATTTACGAGGTTCAGTGATTTACGATGTGTTTCCCTGCACGCTGCCGGTGCGCGCCTGTAAATCGTCATCAGCCTGTAAATCGTCATCAGCATGCTGCGTGCAGAGAAGCAGCCTTTCAAAAAGCCCTTTTTTCCTGCTTTTTTAACTGCAGCTGTGCCTCGCACGGCAGCTGAAGTTGAAAAAATCAGGAAATAAAGGTCAGGTAAGAGCCCAGGTGGGCGGGTGGGCAAAAACATCAGCGGACATAGAACCAGTTCTATGTCTGCTGCTCTTCAGAGCTACCCGTTCTACAGAGGTGGACAGAACTGATAGAAACCCACCCGAGTCAATATTGAAGAAAACAGTTCAGTATGTATAAAGAAAATTTTCTCAATGCTGAAAAAGATCGTCAGTGTTAAGGAACAAAAGTATTGCAGTCTGGTTACACTACAAGCAGAACTCATCAGTTTGCATCCAAATAAAATGGTTGATTTCCAACATTTCTAAGATTTTTCTTCTCTCCAAGTTGTTTTTTTTCCTCCTTTCAATTTTTTCCCCCCTTGGTTGCATTTTTGTACGTTTTGGGGTTTTTAAAAAAGATTTTTAACTAGATTATTTAGAATAGCCCCACTTCTGTATATCTGCTCTCTGCAGCAGTGATTTTCCAGTCCTGGAATCTGGAGGACAACAAAGCAGAAAACGAAAACTCCACTTGTTGAAATTTCATAATCAATATAGAAAAAACACCACCCAAACGCCTTTTTTGAGGAATTCCACAATTTCTGCAAAAGGAAATGTCCAGTAATTTCTGCTGATGGGAAATCAGGAATGAAATTCAACCCCTCTCTAAACTCATCAACTTTTGTGGATTTTCTTGTATGCAATAAGGAGTGATTTATGCCTGTAGTACTGTCCACAGACGGGACATTTGAATAGTCTCCCCCCTGTGAGCCCTCCGCTGTTTCACCAGGTGTGAATTGAAACGGAAATGTTTCCCACACCAGGACATCCAAAGGGATTCTCTCCTGCGTGTATTCTTTGGTGTCTCATGAGACGGATATTTCTGATGAAACTTTCCCCATAATCAGGGCATTTAAAGAGTTTCTCTCCTGTGTTAGTCCTCTGGTGTATCACCATATTGGAATTTTGACTGAAACTTTTGCCACAAACAAGACACTAATATGGTATTTCTCCGTTGTGAGTCCTCTGGTGTGTCACCATGTTAGAATTCTGACTGAAACTTTTGCCACAAACAGGACACTCATATGGTTTCTCTCCTGTGTGAGTCCTCTGGTGTGTCATCAGGCTGGAAGTCTGACTGAAACCTTTCCCACAGACAGGACATTCAAAAGGTTTATATCCTGTGTGTATCCTCTGGTGCCTAATAAGCTGGTATTTTCTAATGAAACTTTTCCCACAATCAGGGCATTCAAAGTGTTTCCCTCCTGTGTGAGTCCTCTGGTTTATCTCCAGGTTGGAACTTTGACTGAAACGTTTTTCATAATAAGGACATTCAAAGTGTTTCTCTGCTGTGTGAGTTCTTTTGTGTGTCACCAGGCTGGATTTGTGACTGAAACGTTTTTCACAATCTGGACATTCAAAGGGTTTTTCTCCTAAGTGAGTCCTCTGGTGTATCATAAGGTAGTTATTGTTCATGAAACATTTTCCACAAACAGGACATTCAAACGGTTTCTCTCCTGTGTGAGTCCTCAGGTGTATTACCAGGCGGCAATTGTGAGTGAAACCTTTCCCACAGAAAGAGCATTCAAAGGGTTTGTGTGTCCTCTGGTGACTTGTGAGCTGAATTTTTTTAATGAAACTTTCAGCACAATATGGACACTGATATGATTTCCCTACTGTATGAGTCCTGTGGTGTTTCACCAAATTGGAATTGTGACTGAAACTTTTCCCACAAACCTGACACTCATACGGTTTTTCTCCTATATGAGTCCTCTGGTGTACCACCAGCTGGGAATTCTGTCTGAAACTTTTCCCACATAGAGCACATTCAAATGGTTTCTCTCCTGTGTGAGTTCTCTGATGTATCATCAGCTGATAATTCTGACTGAATCTTTTCCTACAAAGAACACATTCAAATGGTTTCTCTCCTGTGTGACTCCTCTGGTGATTCATGAGCTGGTATTTTATAGTGAAACGTTTCCCACAATCAGAACATTGAAAGGGTTTCTCACCTGTATGTGTCCTCTGGTGTCCCACCAGGTGGGAATTCTGACTGAAACATTTCCCACAATCGGGACATTCAAAGGGTTTCTCTCCTGTGTGTGTCCTCTGGTGTTTCACCAAGTAGGAATTCAAACTAAAACATTTCCCACAATCTTGACATTGAAAGGGTTTCTCACCTGTGTGAGTCTTCTGGTGAATCACCATGTTGGAATTCTTACTGAAACATTTCCCACAATCAGGACATTCAAAGGGTTTCTCTCCTGTGTGAGTCCTCTGGTGAATCACCAACTTGGAATTCCCACTGAAAAATTTCCCACAATCAGGACACTCATATGATTTCTTTTCTGTGCACATCTTCTAGAGTATCACCAGGCCACAGTTCTGACCAAAACTTTCCCCACAATCAGAGCATTCAAAGGGTTCCTCCCTGGTATGAGTTCTCTAATGTATCACCTAGTTGCCATTCTCACCACATTGGGAGCATTTGTAGGGCTTCTCTCCTATGTCATAACCATCATAACTGTGAGTTAGCTGCCAAACATCAAAATATAAATCACATGACTATGCGGATGCTGCAAAAGTCATAAGTGTGAAAAATGGGTCATAAGTCACTTTTTTCAGTGTCGCCGTAACTTTGGACAGTCCTAAATGAACTGGTGTAAGTTGAGGACTACCTGTAATGTATCCTTGGGTTCTGCATACTCTATTTTATTCAGTTCGAAATCTCTTCTTGATCACCTGCAGGGGAAGGAGAAGAATTTTGTGGTTTTCTAAACGAAATAGAAAATATTTTGATTTCTGGCTTGAGCTGCTTTCCTTTTTAACGTTGCTTATTATTCTCAGTTGTCCGGAGTGCTTTTATTGGCATCCTCTTTGCCTGTAGGATTCAAGGAAAAGAGTAACTTTAATTGTTCACAAAATGGTTGCAGAAGAAGTGAAAGAAGAAAAACATGTGCATTAAAGGGAGAAAGCAAATATGCCAGAATGCTAAAATAACCTTAATTATGATTTATTTGACACATTGAAGATTACCAAGATCCAGGTTCACATTTGTATTCAACCATGAAATTCTCTTGTTGACTTGAGTCAATACAAATTCTTAGTACAGCAATTATTGGATAGAATCACTGTAATTAAGATGAATATAACATTTAACAGAATAATAGAGTTGGAAGGGACCTTGAAGGTCTTCTAGTCCAACCCTCTGACCAAGCGATAAACCTTATACCATTTCAGACAAGTGGCTGTTGAATCTCTTTTTGAAGGCCTCCAATGACGGAGCACCCAAAACTTCTGAAAGGAAGCTATCCCATTGGTTGATGGCTGTCATCTTTAGGAATTTTCTCTTTCAGCTCTAGGTTGTTTCTCTTTTTGGTTAGTTTCTATCTATTCTTTCTGTTGGTACTTTGGTAAAATAGTTTGACTTGTCTTTGTCTTTATAGGAGCTCCTCAAATATTGGAACACTGCTGCCATGCCTCTGCTAGTCCTTCTTATTAGACTAGCGTATTTTATATTTGATCAATTAATAAAGGCTTTGTGAAAGAAACCAAATACTTAGCACTGCAAAGAGTAATTATGAAATACAGTATATCTGGAAGTGCTGGGGACAGATTATACAATTGTAGATATATGCATAGAGAGAAAAACAGAAATAAACAAACCTACAAATTTATATATCTGGAAAATCCATGTATTTTCAGCCTGAAAAAATATTCCAAAATGGTTACAGTCAAACCTTCTGTGCTAACTCCGGAGATATGGGGCTTTAACTGATGAAATGTTGCTTAAAGCCTCTGCAAGATTTGAAGCATCCATTTTGCCCATGGAAGTCCTGAGCTTCAGGGGAGAAAATACTTTGCACAATCACTCTGGCAACACCCCAACTGAAGTCATCCTCACTTACTGACTACATTTGGGACTGGCATCTGTGTCACTAAGCAGCCTGATCATGAAGCATGATGTCACATGACAGTGCCAACTTATACCTGTTCCTCTGCATTTGTAGGTTGTTAAAGGCAAATTCACCTGACCGTGGCTTTCAACTTCCTGCTGGCATCCCCACTGATTTGACTTGTGTGAAGCTAGCTGGGAAGGTCACAAATGGGGATCATGAGGGCGGGACGTTACAACCATCATAAATGTGCACCAGTTGGCAAGAACCCAAATTGGTTGCAACTCCTTTTCCTGCCTCTACACAACCACAGAAACTGCTGACATGTTCAGGTCACTGAACAAGTGTTACGATGACCACAGATTTCAGGACCAGGTCTACAACTGCTTTTGCAGTGCCAGAGTAACTTCGAAGGCTCATGAAACAAATGGTAAGCGAGGCCTATATACAAACTGAACATCCCAAAAGGTCCTCAATAAGACCTTTTTAGTTGAACCTGGTTAATACATGGATGGGGCACCAATAGGAAATACCGTGCTTGTTTATTATTGCTAAGAAAACAGCAGGTCCATAACAGAACAACAGAGTTGAAAGGGATCTCGGGAGATCTTCTATCTAGCCCAATCCCTTGTTTGAGCAGGAGGCCCTGAGGAACCTGACAACTTTGTCACCCAAAAGGTAGAGGATGGAATTAGAGGGTCAGCTCTACTGGACTTAATTATTTATTCATTTAAAAAAATGATACTACCTATTTGCACATGATACTGTCTATTTGCACATGGCAACGTGTGTGTGTGCGCGCGCGTGCGTGCACACACAGACACATATATATGGTTTCGTTGATTTTCACTGGTACAGGTATGCAGGTCTTGGCATGTTTGGGTCTTTTCCCATGTAAGATTGAGAGTATCTTGGCAATGTTTTGAAGAGGTCCCACTCGCCATCTTCAGGCTGGTGCTTTCGGCTTCGTGCTTGTGCGAGCAAAGCGTGATCGGAGCTGCCGTCTCCCTATATATACTGGTGGAGAAGTTGGCTGTGTTGTTATTTCTTGATTGGTTGATGGAGTTGATGTTGGTTTGTCCAAAGTATGTGGCTGGGCAATTGTTGCATGGTATTTGTTGCAAGGAGTTTATGAAATATCATGCAACAATTGCCCAGCCACATACATTGGACAAACCAACAGGAGAATAAATGCATGTATCGCAGAACACAAGAACACAGTCAGAAAAGAAGAAAATTCCTCCTCCCTTTTCCAGCACCTTAAAGCCACAGGACATGAAATTAATTTTGAGGGAACCAAATTAATCTCCAATACTGAACACTTCAACAAGAAAATAATAAGGGAAGCCATCGAAATAGAGAAACACCACCATAACATGAATAAACAGAAACGATACCTCCCACCTACCAGACATTTGGAAACTAGCCCTTATCAACAAACGAGTCTCAGCCACGAAAACCAACACCGGACCCAAAACAACACATGACGCCACCACCAATCTCCCTCACCAGACTCAAACCCAAAACCACCCCATAGACGAAAGGCAACCACTGTCCAGAAGCCAGACCACAGCTGCATCACCAGCTGCCACACACCCCGACCCCCAAACCAAGCAAACTGACACACACCATGAACACATAGCCAGGCCTCAAACTCTGAGCCAAACCAAAACCCGGAACTTCACATCACAGTCACCTGCTCAGGATATCACATCACGGAACTCAGGAGGTTACACCTCAAAACCTCAGGAGGAGAAGGAAATTATTTGAGATTATTATGGGAAACTATACACACAAGAGAATATTGATGAGGAAAGAGTTAAACAGTATTTACAGTATGCTAATTTACCCCAGATACCTAAAGAGATTGAAACAATGTTAGAAAGCAATATAATGATGATGGAGTTAACTGAAGCACTTAAGAAACAAAATAATGGAAAAGCACCAGGCCCAGATGGACTTCCGGCAGAATTTTACAAAACATTACAAGAATCATTGAATTTTCCACTGCTAGAAGTTATGAATGAAGTTATGTTAAAGAAGAGGATACATAAATCATGGTCAGAAGCTTTATTACACTTGTCCCCAAATCCAGTACAAATCAAGAATTATAGACCTATCTCCCTACTAAATGCAGATTATAAAATCTTTTCTTCAATATTGGCAGAAAGACCTAAAAAATTTTTAAATAATTTTATCCATCCTGACCAAAATGTATTTTTTCTGCCAAAGAGACAAATCAAAGACAATATGAGAGTAATCTTGGACACTTTGGAATACTACGAGGCACATCCTGAAAAACAAATGGCTTTGATATTTTTAGATGCACAGAAGGCATTTGATAATGTGAATTGGAGATTCATGTTATTACTGCTGGAACAGATGGGCTTTGCTAGAAAATTTATTCAAGCAGCAGAAGCTATATATCATAAGCAGACGGCAAAGGTAATGATAGAGGGAGAACTGACAGCATCTATCGATACAAGAAAGGGAACAAGACAAGGGTGCCCACTATCACCTTTGTTGTTTGTGTTAACTTTGAAAGTGCTAAACAGAAATATTAGAGATGACAAGAATATAAAAGGGATGAAAATTAAAAAGGAAGAATTTAAGTTGCAAGCATTTGCAGATGATTTGGTTTTTATCTTAGAAGACCCACTAGAAACAGCATCAAAATTGATAGAAAAGATAAGAGACATATGGAAAGGTGGCTGGTTTGAAAATAAATAAAGATAAGACAAACAGGAGATTACAGCACAAGACCCAGGATGTCAAAACAATAGAACTCAGAAGGTCATCACACAGCCCATTACCAAGGTCGTTACAACACAGGAGGCTGATAAACACACAGCCAATACCTCAGCCACACATGTTCTTACGAAAAAGCCAGCCAATCTGCAAACATCAACTCCATCAACCAATCAAGAAAAAACAACACAGCCAACCTCCCCACCAGTATATATCGGGAGACGGCAACTCCGATCACGCTTTGCTTGCACAAGCACGAAGCCGAAAGCACCAGCCTGAAGATGGCGAGTGGGACCTCGTCGAAACGTTGCCAAGATACTCTCAATCTTACACAGGAAAAGACCAGGCTTCTGTATAGTGTTTGTTCTGTATAGTGTTCGAACACTATACAGAAGCCTGATGATGGCAGATGAGATTCTGCCGAAACATTGCTACAACTTCAAAGCACAACTATAATGACATGGGAAAATACCCAAACAAAGCTGAATACCATACATACATACATACATATGTATTTACACAAACACACACACACGCACACACATATTAATAGAAGAAAATAATCAAATAATGAATTAATACATTAATAAAATAATATAATAGCTCTCGGCGACAACACATCACACAAGCCATTTAATGGGCTCCATCCAGCTCTGGGTTCCCCAGTGGCAAATGTTTTTTCGGAAAAGTGTTAAGAGTGGGGGGCCATTCTGATCTCTGGGGAAATGATGTTCCAGAGAGAGGAAGCCACCACAGCGTTCTTGGGGGGCTTATTTGGGGGCTTGAGGCTAAAACATACAAAGATGGTCGCAGGAGCTGGGTCTAGTCTACAGAAGAGGAGGAGGAGGAGGGGTGACATGATAGCAATCTTCCAGGATTTGAGGGGCTGCCCCAAAGAAGGGCGGCTCAACCTCTTCCACAGAGCATCTGAAGGCAGAACAACCAATAATGGATGGAAACGAATCAAGGAGAGAAGCAAGCAGAAATATCCTGACTGTGAGAACAATTAACTAGCTTGCCTGCAGAAGCTGTGGGTGCTCCATTACTGGAGGCTTTCAGGAAGAGCCTGGACAGCCATTTGCCTGAAATACATAAGGTCTCCTACTGGAGCAGGGGGCTGGACTAGATGACCTCACAGATCCCTTCCAAGTGTTATTCCATATTCTAGCTGCTTCTCTGCTTCCACGCCGTGGAGGGAACCAAGCAGCCTGAGTTGCTCCCAAATTCTCCTCCGACCTGCTGTCAACTCACCTGCCAGCTGAGACTTCGGTACTTGGAAGAGGCGCCGAGCCACTCTACACGATACTCTCTTCTCTTGTTACGGAAGAGGAAGTTCCTTTGTGCTTCTCTTCTCTTTCCGCCCTTTCTAGCAATACAGTACTC